GTTTTATAACTTGTTGAAATTCTTTAAGTTGAACTCATTTACACCAAATGAGCATCGGATGGATGTTTTTGAAACGAGCTTGTTGATTTGCTTCAAGATACAATGCGATACTACATTCTTTAACAAGTATAGGTAGTCTGACATTTTTTCCACTTTGATCTAGTCCTCCGCCGTGGTATAAACATGTTGCTTTTACAATTAGGTACGTTAACAATAATCATTACGTCAAAATATCTTTGGCATAAGGGCACCCGATGCATTCTATTGTGCCAAATTGGTTTCGTTTCAAATATGATTGTGCAACAGCATGGGCTACTCCGTATATGACCCGAATAATAAGTACGGACAACTGTTATCAAATAATCGTACTACGGAATTTACTTCACTTGATTGAGTTGTAATATTTTCAAATTTTTTGTACTTTATTTGTTGATTCATTAATTAACTTATTTTGATGATTTTTTTGTATTAAATTATTTTATCTTTATAGTTTTAAATATTTATTTTGACTAATTAATTAAAACGTTAATAGTACAATTTAAAAATTAAAAATAAATTTATAGTTACTTGAATTGATTTATAAATAATTAGTTGGCAAAAATTTATTATAAAACTTAAATTTAGAATAATAAAATTAGAAAATAATGTTGAAGAAAGTTATAAAACATAAATTTATAAGACATAATTTTTTTTTAAAAATTAATGAAAAAAAAATTATTAATTGACTTTGACCTAAACATATAGAAGTGGGTGCACTTTACCTATATGGAAGGGTGCATATATCCTCACCCCCAATATAACACAATCTCAATCGTCCATTTAATTTGATGAATATGTGATTTCATAGAATTTTTGATTGTTTCCCAATATATACTAATATAAAGTATATATTGATCATAATTAACGAATCCTATTCATCTTCCATAAATATTCAAATCATAATAAATGAACTCTCATCATTTCTATACAAATCTTAATTAATTAGGTAACATTGGTTGTATAAATAGACATGGTTGTATTTGAAATATATATAAGAAAATGGAAAAACAAGTGTTAATTGAAGTGGTATGGATGTGGTATTTGTAAACTCTAGAAATTACAATTTAATGCTAATCCATTTATTATCATTTTCTTATTTCTTTTATTAAATAAAATTGTCTTATTCTTCCCCAACATAACACAACACAACACAACAACAATAACAACAAACACACACTCAACCTACCACAAAATTGTATATATATTCCCTCAAAATCCATACCAAATTCGAAAGAGAACCCTAACCATTATCCAATTATATAAAGAAACATAAATTTCATTAAAATAAACATCTCATGTCTTTATTGATGTCAACCTGCATCTTCACCAGTTCTAATCTTTAGTTTCTTGTAAAAAAGTCTTACTATCATCAAATTTACGATGATGATGACCTTGATTATGATACATCATCGTTGGTTGTTGTATCTGATGATAAAGACATCGTTGGTTATTGTATCCGATGATGAAGGAACTACTAGAATCCTCACTACCCTCTTCTTTCTTCACCATTCCAACCCCATCGTTGTTGCAATTCTCTTACCACTACCTCAGAAGACTATCTGATAAACTGCAGTTCGGAGGATGAAGGAGGAAAGGAGATGGTAATGAGGTGGTGTTTGGGGAAGAAAGGGGTTGGAATCTAATGATGGTGATGTTGTGGATCCATAGTGTAGAGAGGAGAAGAGGTGGAGACGAATGGGAACGAGAGTGATGGTTTGCAAGTGGCGATGGAAGGAGATCGACGGGGAAGAGAAGTTGAGAGGAACATCCGATCATGGTGAAGAGGGAAAAAAGAAGAGGGGAGGGAAAGCAAAAGATTAGGGTTTTTTTTTGTTAATTACGAAAGTAAAAGCAGAATGACCAAAACGCCCATTCGATTAACGGATGAATTTAACATCAGTTAAGACTCCGTACTATTCATGAAAGCAACTTAAAAATGATAGAGACGATCCATATGAATGAGGTTCCAAGTTCGAACCTAAACATCATTCCTTTGCAAATGGAATATATGAACAGATTTACCTCATATATGATGATCGTTGGACCGATATAATGAAGATGTCTAAAAAGGTTAATTCATGTAATTTACCCTCAATGCCCTAAGAATTCATGATAAATGGACAAACATGCATAGTGAAAGCAACATTTATCACGTGCAATGACAACCACCCATCATCCAATCACTATGCACATGCTAATATTCCTTTTCCCATACCCCTTTTACAAATTTACCAAAATACCCTCGAAGCCAAACACAACTCAACTATTCTTCCTAACCCCAATGGGTTTGCAAGTCATTGGACCTCACCTTACACAAACTCTTGTAGCAACTCCAATCCACCCTAACACTCTTAAAAGCACAAAATTGTGGGTTCCACATACATTAAAACACAAAACCCTTCCAACCACGTACCAAAACTCTTTCCCTCCAAAACCCTCCTCTTATCGAAGATGCCATTTTCCTCGGCCACGAACGTACGTGGCTGGAACAAACTGACCGATGAAAGTAAGGTTTTATAAACGGGTTAAAGATACCCTTTTTTAGACATTATTAAAGATAACCTTTTTATTCCAAAACAATTATACATACATATACACCACTCTTGTTGGAATGAAGAGGCTGTCGACACAAACCAACAAGTCCAAAGTAAAGTACAAAGCAAGATCGATAAAAGTACAAGACACTTTCATATTTGTTGAAGAGTTGTCAATTATTGATCTAAAGTATTAATAATATGGATTTAAGGTAAAAAACGAAACCCCCCCCAACAATCACATGGTTTAATAAATTAATTCTTTTTAAGCTTTAGGATTTGTAGAAAAAATTGAATATTGTTCATGATTTATGTCAAAAATATTCTACGATACATATATATCATATCAGATTCAGTAGAAAACGTTAAATAAATGAAAAAAAAAAATCAAAAAAACCATTAAAAATAAGACGAAAATATAATATTTTTTGATGTAATTTGTTTTCCAATTATTTTTAATCTTTTTTCGAATAAAAATACCGGTTCTTGATTTAAAAAAAGAGTTAAATACAAATTTGGTCCTTATGGTTTACAGAAACTAAAAAGTAAGGTCTCTGAAAAAAATTATTAACGAGTATCCTTATAGTTTCATTTTTATAACGAATATGATACATCATCTAACCCCTTCAGTTAAGTTTCGTTAGTGAGGGGGTATTTTTGTCAACTATCCTTTATCCTCAAATTCAATTTTCAATAACATATTTGGTCTCTCAAACTATTTTTTCTTCTTATAACAGATATGGATCCGCCGTCAACTTTCATTTCTAGGATTTGATGGCACAAACATTATTTTCTAAATATAATTAAATAAAATTTGAAGCTTAGATTTTACCATAAAATATTTTATCTTTTCGTAAACATTACTTCCATAAAATCCTTACACTCACATAAAATATAATTTTGATATATTTTTGTTTCAATTAGTTGAAAATTAAAAATAATTATAAAACTAAATATATAACAATATATTAGATAATAAGATTTGAAAGTACTAAGTTTAAGCATTTTACTAAAACTAATTAATATACAAAACTAGTATTATGGTTAAATTAGATGTACAAATATAAGTTTAACTAATTTATTTAAACCAACTAATATATACTAAAAATGGTTATAATTAAATTATAATTAATAAAATATAAAAATATTACAATTTAGCACAAAATAATTGAAATTATTAGTTTTATTATGATATAATTTAATACATCATAATATAGCCTTCAAACGGTTAATGTTAAATTATAACATTTTTATATATTTATATTTTTATTGATTATAATCATTTTAATGTATATAATAGTCAAAGTTATATTTTTATATCTTATATAACTATGATATATTTTTTGTATATTAATTAGTTTTTATTAAATTACTTAAACTTATATTTTTACATTTTATTATTTAATATATTGCTGGTATTTAGTTTTAAAGCTTTTTTTAATTTTCAAGTAATTAAAATTTTTTTATTAAAATTATGTTTTATTTGAGTTAAAGGATTTTATGAAAGTAATATTTCTTAAAAAATAAATTATATTTAATTGTTTTACTAATTATATTTTAAAAATACATATTTGTGTCATCAAATTTTATTGATTAAATTGGGCGACCAAATCTTAAAAATAAAAGCTCCGAAAAAACCAAATACGTTATAAAATAAAAAACAGTTTGAGGGACCAAATACGTTATAAAATAAAAAGGAGTTTGAGAGACCAAATACGTTATTGAAAATTGAAGATGAGATGAGATGAGGAGGGTGAATAGACAAAAGTGCCCCAACTTAATTGAGGGAGAACCACATCCATTATAAAACTAAAACTACATAAACGTTCTTTGTTAATAATTTTTTCTAAAGACCTTACTTGTTAATTTATGTAAATCACATGGACTAAATTTGTATTTTAATTCTTTACAAAAATATTATTAATGAGTATATATATTTATAGAAGAGTAGGTTGACATCAACTGGATCTGCTTTTTCAAGGACAAGGAACCCAAAACATTATTTCCATAAAAATAATTTTAATTCTTTTTTTTTCAAAATTAGCGAAAAAAAAGGAAAGCAAAAATCCAAAATGTCTTTTCCACACCCCACAATTGCTTAGATTTACCGAGGCAAAAAAATATTAGTCAAACGCTTGTCGAATGATTTGATATAAAATAATTAAGGGGTCAAAATGATTAAGTGGTTAAAATAATTAAGAGGTTCATATGATATAATGCAAAATAAAATATAATTGTTTGACAATTGTTTACAACGAAATTAGGGCTCTTAATGGTTGAAAGGAGCCCCAAAATACAAAAATCATTCATAGGGTTTTAGAACCATTAAGAGACATATTTTTTTTACCAAATAAGATTCACCTTTTAACGATTTAGAAGTTGCTTCTTCGTATAAAACTATTAAAAGATAGACACAACCCTGAACCTAATGCGATTTCAATTTCAACATCAAGAAAAAGAACTGTGGAGTTTTAAACTATAGAAATTTGTCAAAACAAGCCCCTTGATTTCCAAAATGTTACATAAAGTACCCTGTAAGTTTAAGGTATTTTACTTTCCACTCCCTCTATGTACCATATCCTTGTACCTTATGATGGAATCCAACCTCTGCAATTTCAGCTGATGCTTGAATTTGTTGATAAAATCATCCGCCTTTGCGTCCACTTCCACGTCATCCTCCTCCGTTGCCCTAGAAGCCGACCTCCTCTCCCTCACGGTCGCCGGCCGACGAGCCTCCACGATCTTCTCCTCCTCGAAATGGGAGAATGCAGATTTCAAACTTGCCGACTTTTTCATCTTCACCGGTAGTTTTACCGGAATCTCACCTGACGCCGGCAGAGTGTCGGATTTTGTTCTGTTAACATGTCCGCCTGTTATAATGCTGTAAACCTCATCTAAACTCTGGAACTCATCGTTTTCTTGCTCATGGGTTTCTTCAAAACCCGAATCCTCCGGGTTTTCCGGACCGACATCGAAATGGGCAGTCACCTTCTCAACGGTGTGTTTCTGTTCGAAAACGAAATGGGTCTGTACATTAGGGAGAAGTACCTCATTGGTATGATTGAAAGCAGCATATTGGGATTCGGATTCGTGGTCGAAACGGGTCGGGTTAAGATCGAGACCGTCGGGGTTCGCAGAAACCGTTTGCACATCGTGTTCATGAGAAAAAGGGTGATTGAAAACGTATTGTGTAGCAGCAATTTCTAAAGCTTCATGTTGTTGGTGGTGGATGGCGGGAGACGCATCCTGTTGAGATCTGTGAGGGTAGAGGTTGAAAGATCTTAGACGGTGGAGAATGGATGGAGATCTGACGAGTTTGGATTGAATCAACTCGTTGTGATTCTGGGTTTTTTCATTGTGATCTTCTTGTTTGTTGTTGTTGTTATGGTGGTGGTTATAGTTGGGTATGTTGGAGGTGAAGAGAATGGTTCCAATCATGAGATTGAGGAAGACGAAGAGAACAGTGGGAGTGAACCAGCTGTTCATGGAGGCCCAGATAGATGGTAGAGATGGTGCAGAGTCATCCATTTGTGTATTCGAGGAGAGAGAAGGGTTTTTTTTGCAGAGATGGTGGAGGATGAAAAAGGGTAGTGGGTGGAGAGAGAAACTGTGTGGAGAGATGGAGAAGATGGATTTATGCTTTAAGAACTTTTGTATTGATGAGGTGTGAGGAAATTTTGATGATAAGCAATTGATCGATTTCTTTTATAGGGTAATTGCGGGTACTAGCTCACTTTATGCTTGTCGACAAATCAATCGAAGGGATGGTTTATTAAACGCTTACCTAGTAAGTATTTATGGGATAGTTTTTCTCATCGGATGAATATGGTAAGGACCAAGAATCTTACTCGGTAAGAGTAATGATAAGGATGAAGAGTCTTATCCAGTAAGTGAGGGTGACGACTTTTACCCGGATAAGCACTTACCAGATAAATTGTTGTATACGATACGTTTTGATGTACTATAATTTTATCCAATAAAATAAAATTATAGTGTTGACTCCTAACGTTAAGCACTTACCGGGTAATCATTTAGGTAAACAGCCCCGGAGTGTCTTTAGACAAGATATGACAATTGTTTAGTGACAATTGTTTAGTGTTTGGTAAGATATAATATGATTCGTTAAAATGACCAATTTATTCCTTGTATGTTATTTATTGAATTTTTATCAAATACTCAATCTAAATGAAAATTAACATATAATATTTAAAAATACAAAAAACATTTAAAATAAATACTGATTAAAAACTCACATTCATAAATCAGAAGATTTAAACAAAATGTTTACCAACACACATCTTACACAAAAGTTTAAATATTTACCGGTGTGTATCAAAAGACCGAAGCATAAAAGCTCAAATGTTTATCATTGTGTACCAAAAGACCTAAACACAAAAGTTCAAATATTTACCGACTAATATCACATGTCTAACTTCTTTAAGACGGTCCTAACAAATGTTGGCTTAAAACCAACATTCATGTCATTCCAAAGGCGTAATTGAACTAGATTATCTGTAAAATACATGCTAATAACAACATATTGGCCACTATCAAAACGCATGTCGCTTAACTCATCGGACATATTTTGTAAACCCGGAGTACCAACTGATACCAACTTACTCATTTCCTTGGATACCCAGGACAACCCATTTTCAGTCATCTTAATTACATCTTTAGCAACACCAATTTCTCTCTCTCTCTCTCTCTCTCTCTCTCTCTCTCGATTATGCTTATCCTTCTTGTGGAATGGAGGATGAAGAAATACCATTAGAAGGAGTAGAAAAAAGACGCGTTAAATTCTTCGGTCTCAGCACCGACTTCATTTTCTAGATTGATATGCTCTAATGCATCCACGACTGATTCCACCAACGATCTTGTAGCTCGATATTTCGGGCCTACTATTTGAGTTTCGGAAAAGAAAGGAGAAAGACTTTTTAAAATTAATATCATCTTCAATTGCTGATCTTGGAACAAAGGTTTGTTGGCAATATAATTTTTACTTTGATGTGTTCTATCAAAATATAAAAAAATTATACACACACATATATGTTAATCACTATCTATATGAAAGTAAGTACCAAATAATTACATGAAAATATAAGCATTACCTTTAAGTATTCCTCTAACACTTGAGCATCTATCATTATGCATTGATGCACATCATTCCAACCGAATCCATTTGTATTTAACATGTCATATGCGACTGAATATTTATCTTTGGCGCCGTTTCATTTTGTTTTGAATATGTTTTGATGTTACATTGAGGCCCATGATTTTTTCACACATTTTGACTACAATTTGCTCATATGTGTCAGTTCCAGAACTCCCATTTTCACTCCTATCACTGGCAATTACGACCTCTTGTAGGATGCTAATCAACACATCCTCTTCTGCCATACTCTAATTATGTCTATCCGCCATCTTTTAATTTCTAAAATTAAAATACCAAACAATAACACATGTTTTATAACAAGTCCACTCATTTTGATAACAACATTTTAAAAATGCAACAATAATAATAACACAATACATTATGATAACATTTTAAAAACAAAAATACATGGTGATGACAACATTTAAAAGTGCAACAATAATAACAAAGTACATTACACTACAATCTACTTGACATCCACGATTCAAACATCTCTTGAGCTATGTCATCTCTTCATTGAGTCCACTCATTATTTGATTCAACAACATCAATGGATTCAACGTCATCATTGGATTCCAACATCTCTTCCCCAATAAGTATATCTTCTAGTGTGTGTGTCGTGTTTTCCTCCGGATTAAGAGCCATGTACATCCTAATAAAATTATGTAGCCAAGCACATGTTATGACCATTCGTTCTTGAAGTTTTATTGGATAGAAAAGACTTTGTAATATGGCCCAACGTTTCTTCAAGATACCAAAACATCTTTCTATGATATTCCTAGCTTGTGAGTGTTTTATGTTAAAATATTCCTCCTTATTAATAGGTGTATGACAATGCATTCCCATTCTAGTAAATGATACATAGTATCTCTATATGGTGCCAAAATTCCGTTGACACTGACACATCCTGCATTAGCCAAATAGTAATTACCCAATGGGATGTTTAAACCATTATTCCTTGTAACTACATCTCGTAGTACTCTATAATCGGTAGCTAAACCTTCCCAATCGGATAAAACATATACAAATTTCATGTCCTGAGTGCGTGCACCTAAAACATTAATTGCAATATGTCCCTATCTTGTTCGGCATCTTGGTTTATCTGATACGGGTTTCAGTTATTTCAATGTATGTTTCATATATTGCTTCTAGACAATGTTATGAACAAAATAACATGGTTTTAACTAAATGGTAAATGTTTATGCAACGAACAATGAGAGACGTTAACAATGATTACCTTAAACCATTTTCATCTTCTATAAGTACAATCATCCTCCACTGTAGTTGGTTTGATAAACAACATGTCTTGCAACCGTAGTAAAACACTTAAAACTTGATGAACATGCCTACTCATTGTTTCTCCCAATCTATAAAATATAACTTGAAAACATCTATTATTAATGTGATGTTTCTAGTAAGTTTACAAATGCAGCAACATGTTCTTCAATTATAACATTACCATCATCTAATAGGCCACCACGAGTTTCTAACAACCCTGTTGGTCCTGGAAAGTGATGACTTACATTTTAAGTGTTTGTAAAAGCTGGTTGAATAAAAACACAACATGTTTTCATTTTTTAATTCTATATTTTGTATAAAACAAAGAATTATATATTTGTTGCAGAAGTTCGGAAGGTAAGACATGTGATCCTATACGAATCGACTGTGACAAATTTGCTAACATTGAAAGAGTATGGGAAGAAAGTACTCTTTTCAGATCCGAAAAACTAATGAAGTTCTTCAGAGGGTGATGCCCGATCTTGCCTAAGAAATACTTACAGATAAGTTTTTCAAAATGGGTGGGTAGTAATAAATGACAAAGGTGACCTTTTTATAGCCACCATTGCATTAAATGGACCGTCCATTAACGTTTGCTTTCATTTGATTTGGTGATCCATGCATGCTAGTACTCTTCATTTTAGCTTTTGAGGTTGATTTAGACGCTTGTTAACCTTTCTCATCTTTCTGTATGCCGGGGGAACAATAAAGAAGTTGGAAATCGAGATAACAACAAAGAAGCAAAAAATCGCAAGACTGAAATCGATAAACTAAAATCGAATGAAAACGAGGAATTGAAATCGAGAGGGTATCAAGGTGTCGATTACCTGTGGAGAAGACAAGATGAAGTCGATCGATCTGTTGCTGTTAAAAAATACACGATAACTTCCTCTCACTGCATCATAAGGATGCGATAACCCAATTTGTCGCGTCACAGTGATGCAATAACTTCCTCTCACTGCATCATAAGGACGCAATAATACCAACTCATTTCATCATATTGATGCGATAACTTAATTCATCACATCATACTGATGGGATAACACAACTTGACGCACCAAGCTAGTGTGAAAACCTCAAGTCATCGCATCAAAAGGATGCGATAACATCAAACCCATATGATCAAATTTCATCTTTAAACCATTCATCGCATACAAGGATACAATAACCCAATTTATCGCATTACACTGATGCGATAACTTCATCTCATCGCATCAGAAGGATGCGATAATACCAACTCATCACATCATACTAATGCGATAACTTAACTTATCACATCACACTAATGCAATAACACAACTTGTCGCACCAAGCTAGTGCGACAACCTCAAGTCATCACATCGAAAGGATGCGATATGTTGATCCCAGATCTCTCAATAACACTTATAATCTAGTTATGAATAACCAAATTATAATGATTTTATGAAGAAAGTTAAGAAGACTCAAAATTAATATATGAATATTAAAGAACAATTTGAGCTTCAAAGGTTTTACTTTATTGATAAAACGTAAAACACTAAGAGGACTTTTCACGTATGCGCGCATTTTACAATAGACCTAGTCGTCTATATATACTAGTTAGCTAATGCTAAGATAACTAACTATTACTACTTTCTAGCAAATATTCTAGCTAATAGATAATGTTTATCTTTTACATGGATAATCATTGTTTACAAGATAAACTATAATTCCAGCTGTTGATTTGTCATCTCCAGCTGTCATTATTGATGTGGCGCTTTCATCCTTATCTTTATGTCTTTGATGTATGCATGGATAAATACTTAGAAAACCTTCTAAGTGTTAGTCTTTCAATCGATCCAGACTTAGTCTTTTCTGCCTTGATGTCTTCATCGATCTTCTGGTTCTTCATCACTTATTGTTTTTCATTACTTTTTACATTTTGCACTATGGGATCTAACAATCTCCCCCTAAGTAATGAAATAACAAAGTCTAATCTAATCACATATGAAGAACATACACTAATCTAGAAGAAACATCAAATTCCAAATTTTCATTGGATAATGAATTATGTACAAGACTGGAAGCAAATGTACATCAAGGCAAAATAAAACAAAAAATCCATCTCATCAAGGATTACCCGAGTATATATCTCTGAAGCGTAGKAGTAATCTT